TATATATATATATATATATTTTTTTAATTATTTATTTTTTTTTACAACGGCTGCGTGCAGTGAATCTACACATTTCATGCAGCACAGATTAATATAAAAATAAAAAGAAAAAAAAAAGAAAACAAGTCTAATTTAAACAAAGAAATAAATAGTTCATCTATTACTGGAACTTTTTATATTCTCACCTTTAAAAAAAATCAAACTTCTGAAAAAACAAACAAACAAATAATTATTAGGGTAAAATTCTAAAAGAATAATTTTTTTCTTATGTCTTTATTTTATTTTTCTTCTCCCTTCTTCAGGGGTCGTCACAGCGAATATAACTCGCTTGGATTCGGGCCACCGAGCTACCTCAGCCCTCGGTGTGGAGCAGAGGGCACCTGGGGGAGCAGATGGTGGGGGTTGAAGGCCTTGCTCAAGGGCCCAGAGTGGGGCAAATGAGCATGGAGGCAGGTGTGGGTGCTTCACCTTTGCCACCCACATTTTTTTGAGGTTGTCAGGGAGTGGAACCGACGACCTTCTTTTACCTCTGCGCCACCAGTCCTTTTCTTATGGCTTTATTAATTTATCATAATACGTTTCTTATAATGACTCATTATCTATGACTGCTCCTGTCACACAGGTCCATTGGTGTTGTTATTGGGTTTTTTTTAAAGGACACTTGCTATGGAAGAGGATCAGGTCCACGGAGCTAGAAATATATATTTTTCTTGAATCCTGACTGTTTTTCCTCAGAGTCCTGAGATGAAGGGTGAGAGACTGATGGAGACTCCAGAGATGAAGGTCACACCACATGTTGCCTTTAAGTGCAGCTCCGAGCCGGTCCTGGAGGCAGAGCCACAGTTAATTACGTGAAGGAGGGAACCTATTGAAGCCTTCCTCCTCCTCCTCATCCTCGCTCCTAATCTCACTTCATCCATTGCTGTAATTTTGTGTGGCGGACCCTGCTGAAGATAAGAGGGCTTGGGCTGCAGCGGGTTCTGTCTTGGTGGTGAGTAGAACTATTTTCATACAGTTTATTAATTTAATATATACTTTTTTAATTTTGTAAGAAACGAAAGGTGCAAGGAACAATTCTTGAATGAATATTTGTTGCGTTTTGACCAGGAATATTTAACTTAAGTAATTATTTCTGACACTGACAACACTTACACACTAAATAAAATACTTTATTATAATGGGAAATAGCGTTTGTTTAATATTTTCCATGGAATAACTTAGTTTGTGTGGTTTTTCATTGGGTTTTGAAAAAAAAAAGAGCAGTTGATTTAAATTAAAAAGAGGAGGTGCATCAACAGCATTATCTTTAAATTTACATGTGGTCGTTTTTTTGAGCGCAACATGTTAATGTTAAATATATTTAAACACTAATAAGGCAGATCTCACCCCCCCCCCCCCCCCCCCCCATGAGCCCCAGGGAGGGCTGCTCTGCCTCCGCTCCCCAGCTCTCCTCCTTTGAGACCCTTCCTGCTTCATGCACAGCTGAGACCCAGGGAGCAGAATTAACAAGCAAATTGAAACTCTCTCTAAGCTGCCTCTCAGGTGCCTTTAAGTTCCCTTATGATTATTTTATTCCTGCAACAATCCTTTCTTCATTACAGTTTGCAGCAGGCCTGACCTCAGTGGGACGGGGCGGGGGTGGGGAAGATGTCCAACAACATGGCCAAGATTGCAGACGCGAGAAAGACGGTGGAACAGCTGAAGCTGGAGGTGAACATAGAGCGGATGATGGTGAGTCCAAACGCTCTTTATTGCATCTCTTGTTATTATTTCCCTCATCAAAATATGTGCAATGTGGAGCATTTTTAGTCATTTTATTATTAAATCTCAACGTTTTTAACTTCTTTACCTGTTTGTAGGCACCGTGTCATGCTATGTTTAAAAACTGAGGATGTTTTGGTCAAAAATCAACCAATTAAACATCTAACGAACTTTCTGTGCAGGTGTCCAAAGCAGCAGCAGAGCTGATGGCCTTCTGTGAAGCTCATGCCAAAGAGGACCCCCTGGTGACCCCGGTGCCATCATCAGAGAACCCGTTCAGGGAGAAGAAGCTGTTTTGTGAGATTTTGTAACTCCTGCAAGTGAAAAACATCATCAACGTAAAGCTGTACCCATGTAGGAAATCATCCAAACCTTTAAAAAAAAAAGGTCATTTATTTACTTCATTAAAGCAGCTCTGACACGTGTGAACTGATCATCGTCGTGAATGAGATAATGACGGTAATAAAGTTTTATTAAAAAAGGGGTGCAAAGTTCATTTAAACACTGGGACCACTTCCTTGTGCACACAGTTTATACATTAACTTTGTTCTGTATCTACAGTCTCATTCAATGTCTTGTGTTCGCAAAAGTTTTGAAAGAGTTACAGGAGACTATGTGCTCGTAGGAGAGCTGTCACAGTAAATCAGGGATTAAGTCAGATTTGGTCAAAACAAACTAAAACTAAACATTTTCAGATTCCTGGCTTTTTAACCCAGGGGTTCCCAAACTATTCCATGCCCCCAAACAGCATTAGCTTCTGGCCGAGGCCCCTCTCGCAAACCCACATTCAATGCTACAAAATATGTAAAGAAACATCGACTTTTAGAAAGTTTTAACTTTTATTCACTATATTCAATTACAGCTGCTGAGCATAAAACATTATTAACTAACATGTTTTAAACATTGTATTATATTCCCACTCAAGTGGGGTTGAAGTTTCGAAGGTTTTAAACTCGTTTGCGAGGGTCTCCAGACAGACGACACATTTCGGGCAATCATGGCCATTTTTCTGTAGGACTGTAAAGACATACACTTCCTCATACATTTGAATTTTAGCTGGCCATGAGTTATTTGTTTTTTGCAGCAGTTTCCACCACAGCAGGTCTGCTGGCAGTGTTACCAGATCTCATGATAGAAACAAGCAACCAGCTCTATGAAAACAAGCCCAACTGGCAACCAAACAGAGGCCATTTTTAAACAGTATAAACATACATTTATTATAACATAACATTACACATAAACAACAGCAAAATTATGCTAAATACTTTGAATAACATACTTTTAAGCTTGGATTAAAAATAAAATTTTGCATATGTAATTTTTTTCTACATATTTTTAAAAATAAAACATCCTGATGCTCTATAAATAAATATGACTTTACATATGTGTGTGTGTGTGTGGAGCCCCCTAGTGGTCAGCCACAGTATGAGTGCGTGCGCCCAGCGCTGTAAATAGAGCTATATGGCGCTGTGCGCGCATGTCGCCTCGCCAACTTGGGCGGGAGCGATAAAAAGGAAAAGGGGCATGAAAGGGACAGACTGTACCTACTACCACTCGTCTTTTCTTGTGCGGAGCTGGGAGATAATTAACTACCAGTAGTTTCACTCAGAAAGAAAGTCAAGCCCAAATAAGCAACTTCACGTTCAAACAAGCCCAAAAAACCACAACCCGCGACTCACAAAATTTGCAAGCGACTTTAGAAAAAAACAAGCCAAAGTCGCATATAATAAGCGAACTTGGCAACTGGCTGCTGGTCGGTTTCTTATGTCTTTTTAGAAGCTTCTTCATTTCGTCCTTGCTATGCTAACTTGAAGAGTAAAGCAGCTTGATACATGTGACTGGCAGCCAATCAGAAAGATGGGCGTGGTGAAAAATATTTCTGTATATTATTATAAAATATATTGTAAACTAATTATTGAAAAATAGATTCAATTTTATTACAATAATTTTAAAACAATAAAATTTTAATTGAAACACGTTTTATTTTTGCCTTTTTAATCTTCTTTTCAGCTCTCTGAGGCCTCCCAGGTGCCCCCTGGCGGCCCCCCTAGGGGGCCACAGCCCCCACTTTGAAAAACACTGTTTTAACCATCCCTTTGATCGTCCTGATAGCATGATCAGGTCCAGAGATAAGTTGTCTTGCTAATCAGGATAACCCCTGAAAACTGGTCTGAATCCAGTTTTTAGCGTACTCGGAGGATGTATTGATGTCCTCTAAGAGAAAACCTGATTTAGCTATCAGGATTTCTCAGCTGCTATTGAAAATAGCTTTGCTAGCAAGCAGGGAAAGTTGCAAAAAAAATTTTTTTTCTTTTTTTTTTTTTTTTACTCACAATCATTATTGCTCAGAAGAGCACTTCAGAACATTCTTTAGAATCATTTCATATATTTCATTCAAGGAACCCAAAGATAAGATTCATCATAATTTGTCAAATATTGCAAATTTTTCAGCACAGCACTACAGCTGCCATTATATCAACATACCATTTGTGACTCAATCTTCAGTTCAATGTGATGGGTCATGGAAGTGTTAGCAAAAGATCCCTCAAACCCTTCAGAGAGTGTGCTCATCTACAGAAGGGTGGGCAACATTTCTTTTCCAGAGGGCTAACTCAAGATATTTAAAACGACCAAAGGGCTGCATAAAGGAGTGAATGGAATACTTTTTTCAGCCTTTTTGTTTATATTTATTTATTTATTTATTTTTGTGGTAGCATAGTTAGTATGCTTGATTAAAAAATATGTCTCCCCAATACTGGCTCTTGTGACAATAAATTTGTTAAACATTAAATAAAATCAAATAAAAACAAATATTGTTTGCTTTTTGGAGTCTCTAAGGTTCAGTCTAGTTCTGATGACTTTAAAAAGTTTTAGCCTGTCATAATCCAAAAGTCTTTGATGTATTTGGACAGGATGTGAAATTTAAACTTCTTTAAAATTCATTAATAGAATACTGGTTTTTCATCAAACTATTTAAAAGTTTTTATTTTTTTAGTTGAATATATTGGGGGCCTGTTGGAGATTGTCTGAGGGCCACTTTTGGCCCACGGGCCTAATATTGCCCACGTTTGATCTACAGTTAGACAACCGTAGCAAACATAAAAACAGCTGCAACACATCCAGGTGTAGATAAATCGGGCTAAAAGTTGGTGTGACAGTAGCTGAGAGTCCTCACCGACACACACTTTGAGCTCAAACTGATCACAGCTATGTCAGTCCACTTTGTTAGTAAAACATCA